CATCCCCCCTCCCTTCAGACTTCCGGGAGAAAAACACACACACACACACCAACCCTCTCATCTACCAAGAGAGGTTGAGTGACCGTAAAAAGAACATAATAGGACTCCTATAGGACCGTAACCTGGGGTACCCAACTGGGATAGTCGACTTCGGGTCCGGTGACGATGCGTCTGGCGAAAGGAAAACCGCCAGGACGCTGAGATGCCCATGTTGGGAAAGCCATAGATCCCCCGGTCCGAGGCGTTCACGCCCTCCGCCGCCTCGACGCCAGGAGCGCCTGAGGACCGGTCGGAGACGTGGTTTCGTGGTTTCGGGGGGAGGAAGAAGGAGGCGACCCGATGTTCAGTGCTGGTGGGCGTTTCCAACAGAGGTAGGCTATCCATGGCTATCCCATAGGTTCCCCAGTAGGGTCACCACTGAGGTGTCTCGTCCTGCGTCCGCGGACGAGGGAGCCACACGAAAGGCCTCCGCGGACGAAGAGCCGGTCTGCGCAGGAGAAGCGGTCATGTTTCGCCCCAGCCCCAGACTTGATCACCGGGATTCGCGGATGTACTTGTAGCGCAGCCCCAGTCAAGAGCCCCAGTCAACCGCGGGACAAGAAGTACTTGGATGACATAGTCTTCAACAGGGGTCCATGTATGTCCGTGTCAGTTTTTGGATTAGTGACTAGTGACGACCTTGAACTATATTTCTGCCGGTGTAAGAACCGTAAGAAAGCCCAAACCCTTTGGCCCCCGATTCCTTCCCCTCAACCAAGTCAACTCGGCAAAACCCTCGTGGACCCGGATAAAAACCGACCGCGCCAGGGCGCCGAAGGATTGCAACATCTCGTGTGACAAAGAAGGACCCCGTGATAGCCACCCAGCAGAAGTCCAGCGATCTGTACCCAACGCCTCTGCACCTAGGTGGCGAGGGTGAGGATGGGTGAGGGTTGAGGCTTGGCGGAGTCGAAAGAGGCGGAGTCGGTTGAGGAAGGAACCCCTCGTTCTTGGGGGGTCTGAGCCAGTGACTCCTGGCTGCCATGGAAGCGAAATCATCCGCGCCTTGCTGCCAACCAAGGGGTGGATTCGCTGGTTGCCCACACTGCTGCAGGGCCGCCACGCGATCGCTGCCCTGCAAACCCTCGCCGATCACTTGGGGCACCACGCCTGAGCCGGTCTCCATGACTCAAAGCAGAGGAAGATGATCGAGACCTCTACGACCCTGTGACTCTTTCATCCCAATCCCATTCTTCCCCCATGACCTCGAGCGTCAAGCACTTCCAAACACTTCAAGCCTGGGGCCTGCATCATCCCTAGAATCCAGGTTCACCTCGCTGCGAAGGCGCAACCAGAATTTGAGGAGACCTCGCCCCGATCTCAGCCCCAACCGATCTGCGGCATCCGACCGCCGAGCTGCAAGACACCCCCAAGCGGCAAATGGTCTCCGGCTGCCCTGAGGGGCCCAGCAGCTGAAGGACACCCGCGGGGGAGAGGAAGTGGCCCCCATCCTGGCGCGTGTGCGCCCACGCCGAAGGTTTGGGGGGATGGTGGCAAAGTAGGTTGAGAAGTGTTAAGCTGGGCCAAGGTACGGAGAGGGACAGATGATCCGAGCTTCTGGCAGCGCAAGAGTAAAACGATTCACTGGCCCTGTTCCCTTTTCCTGCAGTTCTCAACGGTGCAGCAACCCACTTCCGGCAGCATTGGAAGATGCGCCTCCTTTACCAGGCTCTACGTTGTATGACAATGGGCTTCTGTATGGCCCTGAAGGTCCTGAAAGGATCTTGAAAGGCATCTGGAAAGGACATCTCCACCATGGGACTCTTCTCTTCGTCATGAGTGGCTTAAGGTCCAATCCCCATCACCCACATCTCATCACCGGTTTGTTGGCCGCCACTCCCGCAGCGTCCTCGTCACGGGTGGGAGGGCAGGGGGGAGGCACCAGCCCATCAGGTTGACGGTAGTCCTTCCCAGGCACCTTCGTGATGCCTGGCCGGACACCCGCAGTGTTCGTGGCAGAGGATGCCAGACGAATCATAAAGCGATGTGGCTGAGTGAAGAGGATGGAGGCCACACCCTTTGAATTCGGATGGTTGTAGATTTATGCGCCTACTTGCACACATTGTCGTGAATGAATAGATGCCTGGAGAGCGATTATATAAAATGTTTGGATTCCCGGACATGCTCAAAGTGCATCCAAAACATGGATTGGTGAATATGGAAAGCACCGGGCTGTGAAAGTGAATGTGAATGAAAGCGCTGTGCAGCCATCACCAGGGAGATGAAACGGGTGTTTTGGGGGATAGAAGGTGCCGATCGTCCAGCCACAACCCCTTCTGGAACTCAACATCTCAATTCAAGTCGCCTGAGAGACCTCCAAAGTGCCTTTAAAGAACGGAACTGCAAGGACTTGAAAATAATCGCTTCTTCCCTGACCCACGTGCAGTTGACAAGCCCCCCAGTCGTCCCGGTCGTCCCTCCGAACTAGGCGCGGGGGGGCTCGCCGCCCCGCGTCCGCCCTGCGTCCGCCCGGCTGGCCTTCGATCGCCCGACCGCGACCGCGCCTACCGGAGGTGGGCCGCACCAGCAAATGTTGTAGCGCCCGCCGCGCGCGATGAGCGGCACGCCGAAGAAGTGATAGCTCCGGGTGATCTGAGCCACGGGTGATCGGGGCCGGTCGGTGCCGACAGCGCCCAACGGGGGAACAAAAGAGGAGGGGCTCTTGGCCTGCGAAAGAGGGGTGGATTTGTGGCCCCCCCCTGGTTCGACCTGCAACCATTCACTATACAGTGATGCCTTCTTGCTGCCGTAGCCCTCCTTACATATCTTTACATTCCGATCGCGCCTGGCAGGTGTTCCCCCAGCGACCACCAGGCCTGAAGAACCCCCACCGGACCTCGTCGAAGGTCTCGGAGACGCCCAGGTTGGGGAAGTCCGTGAGCCCCGGCGAGTCGGCTTGGCTGACGCGTTGCCAGAGACACCCGCGCGGATCCAAGGGGAGCACCACCAGTCGGGAGCCATTCCTTACGGGCCCCGAGCGGGGCGCACCGTGAAGCACCACACCGTTGAAGGACATGATCCCAAGCAGATGGCACTTTCCAAGAGAGGTCCATAGAAGTGTGTAGCCTCCAGAAGCTTGTTGGGCCCCAGAGTCCGTGCTCAGCTCACGAATCTGGTCGATCGCGCCCCCTGGAAGGAGTATTCTCCATGGGTTAGGTGCCTCTGGGCTCTGGCAATGTGTTTCTTTCAAGAAGGGGAGATCCCAGGAGTCGCAAGACGGGGTGCTGAACTTGGAGGATAGCGGTGCCCATGATCCACCACCCCTTTGTGACTCCTAAAAAACGTCAAAGTGCTGAAGCTTTCTATATTGTGGTCACAGCTGACGCTTGGAGTTGATCTGGATATGTTTCCCCGACGCCGACGGACCCTTCTGAGTTCTTCTTGGAACGCCAAGGCTCTCAATGGCCTGCCCTTCGAAACCCGAAATCACACAAGGCATACCAGCCCTGCAAACCTCCACTTTCTGCGCCTGGGGAAGGACAGCGGTGGCCGCTGCCTTTATGGGCGTGGCTCAACCTCCGAATGGTTGGATGCCTGGGCATGGTTACCCCACCAGCAGTCCAAAGAAACATACGTAACATACAACAATGCCGATTGGGGATTGAATCCTGCGCGCTTCTTAAAACCCATAATCTGAACAAGTCGGAAACGCCTCCAGCACCACTTGCAAATGTGAAAGCCAGTGTAACCTTCCCAACAACACCTGGAACTGCATCTTCATGAAGTCAAAGATGTCAGTGAAGCACCCAAGCCTCCATTAAAGCCTACCTGGATCATCCAATTGATGGCCAATAGGCTACTCTACCCTCCGGTGTGTTCACAGGTATGCCTTGTAACCTTGGCTTTGATCAGGCTCACATGTAGAAAGCTGTAATGCTTTGCCTCTTCGCTGTACATAGTCACTGACATAGTCCGTTTTTTCCGAATATTATGGGAGAGCTCAACAAGGTTCCAATGAGGTCGAAATGAGGGGACCATCTCAATCCCCCAATGAACATTAATGTTCTGGGCAAAGCTATTCAAAATCAACGTCAATGAAACCAATACGTACCAATACCATGTAAATGAATATGAGAGAAGCTAGCAGGCTTGAATGAGTGCAACATCACACCAAATTCCAACAGCGTTTCCCCGGCAAATGCGGGGAAGATGCCCAAAATCGGTGGGAGCACCGCCTTAAAGAGAAATGCACCACGCACCACCGGTGGTGGCCGCACCGACTTCGGCCGCGCCTGCTCTGTCGAAGGACCCCCGAAGTGCAAGGGACCCAAACGGACTGAGAAGTCCGCTTCCAAGGTGCAGGAGGAGGCGGTGCCGTTGCACCAACCTGGGACAAGGAGGTCCCGCTGAAAAATGCAAACAGCAAGCAGTGCGCCACGTGGGATGCAAACAGTGTAGCATGGTTGTAGCATAGTGGCATGGCACACCGCAGCATATGCAAGCTACGCGTAGCGGACAGGCGGACAGGTACATAGTGGCACATCGTACCGAAGAAACATCTTGGTGCTCCATGACTCTGAACCTTCTTGTCAGGGCTCTAAACTCTACTACACTGGCCCGGTACTTGTGGAACATCTGTCACGAACAAGATACAACCACAAAATACCACAAAAGACATATATATTGAACAACCGCAGCGGCATGACTTTCATATGCTTTGGACCAGTCTTGAAGACCGCTGCCGACCCAGCCCGCGCCCCTCGCACGCTTGGCGGCCCCCACAGAGGTCGTAGGTCCGGCCCACGGCCACGACGGGTCCGTCGCCCCAGCTGAAGCTGCGGCCATCGAAGGTCTGCGACAGGCCGCCGTTGGGAAAGCCTGGCGGAGAGTGTTGGGTGCCCAACAGGCACCACAAGACATCGTGGTGTCCTTCCTGCAGGGGCATGCTAAAAGGTCCTTCCCGTGGTGACTAGTTTAGGATGCTACTGGTCAGTGTGCAGGCGACCCTACTGGTCGAAATAGGCAAGTCAGAACCTCCTCAGCTCCGATAAATCAAATTCCCCCTAACGATCTTCAAATCACCAGCCCCTTCTAATTCATATATAACCCCATCCCACAGGCGCGGCCCTTGTTGTTACAGGGAGGGAGGGAGGGAGAGCGAGCGAGAGAGAGAGAGAGATCTATCTACACATACACATGATACATGTATACAGTATGAGCATCTTCACCCGCTTCACGAGCAGTTTTCGCTCATGTCGGCAGGAGCCCAAGAGCTGAACTGGTTTTTCGCCGAGGGCACCGTTCGCCGAGGGGCTGGGGGCTAAACATCCCTATGCGCCAAAGAGTTGTCCCCAAAAACCTGTAGCTAACCGGTTGGCCATCCCCATCACAAGGCCCAAATGTATTATAGACTCAAATTTGGGCCCATCCTCGTATCAGCCTCCTGCTCAAGCCATGATTGCACTTGAATCAGGGTTGCAAAGACTCCCCCCCCACATTTGGGAGGAATCCATGCATAGTGTTTTGAACGGAGTTCTCTCCCAATGCAACGACTACATCTTCAAATTGTTCCTGCTCTGCAGGCCAAGGTGGTCCTCCTAAAGAATCCAAACCACAACAAAAACACACCGCACACTGACTATGGGCACAGCCATGCACAGCGCGCCCCAAAATGGCACAGCGAACATACACCCACATCTCCCCGTGGCGCCGCCTCTCTCAAACACCCACATCACACCTCTCCAAAATTCCCATCAGACTCATTTCACCCACCCCACAACCACGACCGGACTCCAGAAGAGTCCTCCCGATCGGTGGGATTGCGCCTGACACCACCGTGCCTGAGCCGGCCTCCAGCAAGTAGCTACAAACCTGGCGGAAGGGGCCAGGTTGGTACGAGTACGGAAATGAATTGTCTGGTGGGTGGGTGTCACTGGAAAAATAGTTGGTGACTGAGTCAGTGGGCTCAATCATCCCAAGCAAATGGTGGATAAGGTGAGTGCGTCGCAATGGATAAGTCGCAATGGATAAGGTAGAAAATAGAAGTAATCTGAAACCACCACCGAGTGCTTTACGACCTCTCCAGTCACCATGGGAGGGTGCTTCTGAGAGAGGTATGTCCAGATCACCGATGTCAACATTCAGTTCGGCTGTTGTGAGAGCTTAACCGGTAACACCTGTTGGAAGGTCCAGGTGGTGAGCTGGTTGACACCCCTTGGGTGAGTGAACACCCGTTGCGTGAGTGCATCCCTTGAAGTGTGGGGCTGGTTGTCAGGCTTCAAAAGCCTCATCAACACCTCACACCGGTCAGCGTCTAAAGTCACCGTCATCACATCCAAAACGCCGGTCGGGGCAGGGCGTCTTGCGAGTCTCAACACCAGCTCAGCTAATCCCCTTAGAATGACCTTCTGAGATAGCAGAATATGGCGTGGCCAGTCACTTCGTCGCTGGCAAGGTCAAAAGCAGAGGTCCAGACAAGATCACACAATGCCCATGGTTTCTTCCGATCAGGGGAGAGTCATCGGCACCAACAAGCATCGAATGTAGCACAGTTATATACAGGAAAGTGACCTGTTTGCCTGCTTTCGCGGCTGGACATTCCGAACATTGGGGGCCGCGACGTGCCATGCAGAAGGTCTCAGAACATGTGGCGTGAGAGGCTTCCAAGCACCCAGCTCTCTTGGGACTGTGTTCTTTTCCACGAACTCCTCAGCGTCCCATCTTGCTCGGTGAGAGGCGCAACAAACACGCGGAGGTGACTGAGCCAGTGCCCAGAATTCGTTGAAAGGAGCATCACACATCGTTTCTCAGTCGCCTTCTTGAAAAAGCTCTGTTCAGGCCCTTACCCTTGTGCAAACCAAGAAACAGCAAAGGCTACAGGTCGGAAAAGAGGCTCTTGGGCCGTCTTCAGTTCCTTTTGCAGCTGAACAGCTGCTCCTCAATCTGCTTGTTAAAGAGGCTTGCGGCCATGATGGACAATAGTCAAGAGGCCATTTGGACACCTTCACAGTGAAAAGACATTGAAGTTCAGGCAGTTCCACCATGCAAATCCACTTTGCACAAATGATGCCGCTGGGCAACCATCAGCTGTTTCAGCGGCAGGGATTGAAATCTTGGGCAGCACATCCAGGTGGTTGTAAACACAGGCTCGCAAAAACTGAGAGGGGGGTTTAACGAAAGCCAGCACTAAACAGCATGCAAGTCCTGGTTGTACCACCAATTAGGCTGTGGTGGGTTACTTGCTGTTGAAATGTGATAGGCCGAACCAAAAATTGAAGCCATTGGACGATGCGCGTCTAAGCATTGCCCACGTTTGGGGCGCCGGCTCTGAAAGGAATGAGGCGGGGGTAACTCATCCACATGTCTGTCAAAACCTCCGGATTAGGAAGACTTGAAGGGGTAAATCATGGCTTGCGACCTGCTTCTAACCACCTTGCTGGTGCAAATGATGCCGCAACATGATCGACTTGCAGAGCACGTCGGCATCAGAAGAACCAGTAACTGTGACGTGCCGGTTGGCCCAGTTGAACAGGGCATCACTTGAGAGTGTACTGGGCCAGGGTCAATCTGGAAAAATTTGGGTCCGAGTCCTGTGTGCTTTGGAGACTGTGGCGTCTTCTTTGTTCCACACGTCTTACGCGATGAACTCATCCAGCTGTTGGACGTCAGCTTGGCCAAGCTCGGTGTCTGGGGCTCAGCCACACCTTCCACTCCGGTGTCCCACGAGGTCGATCATGCGTCAGTCCTGACGGTGGACGGTGCAGTCCGGAAGTGACGGAGCCAATTGCAAGTGGTTGCTGTTCTTTTCTTCTTTATATCTTGGGTTCCCCGAACCCGCTTGACCTTCCAAAAGGCTCAACTGCTCAACTGGCCAGAACCGTTGCGTGGCCCCCTAGTGCGGTCGCAATGGACGATAGCAACTCACTCAAAACGGCCTCCAGCAGAATGTCTTTGACGCCATTGAGTTCCCATCCTTCACCAACCATCGGCATGGCGAGACCACCCTCACAAAAACGTCCACTTCGCTCGCAGAAACGTCACTTCAGCCTTGCCTGCCGGCTGGGCTTTCGTTTCATGTCCGTAAAAATCGAAGAACCGTTCTGCTCCTGCCTTGTTGACTTTAGTCTACAGGGTAGGTGCCTCCCTCCGACCACTGTGCTGCACACAAGGAGGACAGAGCTTGAAAACATGTTTGGCAGAGGTCTTTGAGTTTTTACCATGGCACACGGCCTCCGACGCCCCACCACAGGCCACTGGTCCGCCTAGGCGGAACAGCCATCTGCTTTGGACTCAGATCAGGCACCCATTCCAATCCAAACTCTATTCATGACAAGCAGCTTCTGGAAAGAGATGGCAGCATCTTATGACGGGGTCGGGCGAAGGATTCCTCCAATTCTCAGCTACTAGGGGCTCCTGGCCTTACTACTAGGAGCAAGGATGCTACTAGGGGCTCCCTTGCAGTCAACGGAGCAACCCAACCCTCCCCAACCACCGGTCAACGGTCACTTGCCTGGTACGAGAGCATCATCTGCGGAAAGACCTGGCGGGAAACCGCCATCTGCGGAGTGCAGGACTTTGACTGGGGTGGATCTTTGCGAAGTGAGCACAGATCTTAGTTAATGGTCATGGGCCCTGTGAGGAAGCCCCTTTGAAAGGTTCCGGGCTAAATCCCTCCATCCATCTCCAGGAGCTCTGGAAAATGCTTTTTTGTTCATGGTTGTTCCGTGCTGCGGCTATGCGCTGCTGGCAACGGTACTGTGAGGAAAGGTATATAACGTGATCGATCAAGACGCTTGCAGCTGTTGATCTGCCATTGCCCCACAGAGATTCGGATGGTAAAAGCCAACGCGTATCACAAAAAAAAAACTCAAGCAGGTGCCTGGAGAAACTCCTCATAGCTCCTTGACTGTTGCGTGATGTCGTGCGTGTGTGCGACAATGATGCCCCCAGCTCCTAATTGCTCCTAATCGCACTCTCCAGAGCACCAGCTACCTGTCCACACAGTGTGTCACATCACCGCCCCACACACCCCAAACAGCACAGGGTAAGAGGTGGATGACACAAGATGACACCATGTGAATTCTTATCCTTCTTAGAAGCTACCCGTGGGTCCATTCGTTCATCTTCCACACCCATGCACAGGTCCCAGTGGATGACTCTTAGCACGGTCCTTCACTCAGCAAATTACCGATGCTTTACGACCTCTCCAGTCACCATGGGAGGGTGAATCTGAAAGGATCCACCTTCATGTCCGAATGCATGTAGACCAACCACCGGCTGTTGTGGAACCGACCTTCTGGGCAGCGTTCGCTCGTCAAACACCGGACACACCGGTGGATGGTCGGTCACGTCGCGGCGCGTCGCCTGTGACACCTCCTCGTCTCGACACGCTCCCGGTGCCACATAACCTGAGGCGCAGGTTAGGAGCAGGAGGAGCAGGGTGGATGCAACGGTGCCAGTCCTTTGTAGTCCCAACGATGTTTGAGGAATTGCAACGCAACTTGACTGGCCCTTAGCTCGTGTTGAGGTCACAGAATGGTCTGCAAAGGGGGGAAGGCTCCCGGGGGATCGGTGGTTCTGTTCGGGGACGAGGTCGCTAGGAAGCTCTCATCTTCAAACCCTTTACTGTGCATTCGGAGGTGGGCCTTGGCACACCGAGATCACAGCAGGTGGGCCTTGGCCGTTTCACTTGACACCCGGTCGCTGTGGCATCGCGGTCCCCAATCAGTGGCGAGTTCTGACGTGAATATACCAGGACCCTCCAACAGGTCACCACCTGCGACGTTTAAGTCTGCAAAAGCCTCCAGAAGAGACTGCTGTTGGCTTTGGAGTTTGATCTGACTGGATGGTGCTTCAGCACCGATCCAGCTGAATCACCAGGCCCTTTTGAACATCTGTCATTCCCTTCTTCACCTCACCCTTCACGGCCTTCATCTCCCACTCTCCCTCACCCGACCTCACCCGACCTCCGCCTCCGCCTTCATGACCTGGACCCGACCTCGCCAAGCAGCACCAGGAGCCGCGGAGGTCCTTGGCGTCGCTGAGCCCCACGCCCGCTTGCACCGTGACGTCCTGCGAGATCGGCGTGCACTCCGCGCCTTTGCCTCGGCAGCTCCGGATCGACGGCGGGAGCGACCGGAACGGTGGGGTGGGCGGGAGGGTGGGTGGGCCTGGGGACAGTTGTCAGGCCTCTGCAGTGACGGTTTAGGGGTCTTGGCCCCTTGAAATGTGCGTTGTGCATCCTCGAGAACAACTACAATGTTCTTTCTTCTTTGATGCACGGCTTACCTGTGTTGCAGTTGGCTTGACGTGCGGCTTGGCAGGAGATGGCTGGTGAAGACCCGAGTTGAATTCAGAAAAACTTGTCCCTGAAAAGCACGGGGAGAGAAGCTGAAAATAAGCCAGAAAAAAATGCTTGGATCCTTTAGGACCCTCTCCCCGATCTCCAGCCTGGAACGAGAGGGTGAATTCACAGCATAACTATAGAAATGGCCCTCCATCCAAACCCCCAACATCCGGCTCAAGGGCCCCAACATCCGGCTCAGTTCATCCGTCCGTTCATCCGCGTGGCTCAAGGGGTCCGCCACTCCGCTGCAGCGGCACCGCTCGGGGCAGCCGTCCGCGCGCACGAAGAGGCCGTCGTGCTTCGAGAGGCCCACGCCCAGCAAGTCGCTCACGTTGCCTCGAAGCGACGGCCGAGGAGCGCGGGGCGGAGCGACGGCCGGAGAGACGGCCGGTGCTTGTTCAAAGAGAGGTGTTCAGAGGATCGGCCAGTACCCTGCCCCTGCACCCTTTCAAAAAGACGTGGGGCCCACTTCCGTGCCAGTCTGACCTGAGGTCGGGCTGAGGATTTCGAGGGATGGCCAGTGGTGAGAACGGTTGACCTGATTTGGGGTACCCAAACCCCTCCAGGATCGGGACTTCTGAGGTTGTGGAGGCATTGAAATCCCCCAAACTCTGGACTTCAAGCAGCCCAGAGCAGATGAGGGGTTGCAATGCTGGGATTTTGGAAGAATTCTCCACCTCAGCTCCCACTTCGCAGTCCATGGCCTCCAGCCACCTCACCCATTCTCACCTTCGCTCAGTTGACCCAGACACAGGGGCGTCCGGAGACGCAAGACCAGCCCAGATCATCGAAGAAGGGCCCCTGCGTCAGCAGCTGCGTCCGTGTCTCCAGGATGGACGGTGGGTCCATGCCGAACTGAGCCACGGTGTCCGCGCCAGTGGCGTCGGCAGGCACATGGGTTTCGGAGAAGCAGTAGACGTCATAGTAACGGCCAGGGACCAGGTTCTCCAAAAAGATCATCACCATCCCTGGGGGAAAAGCGTGGAGATCAACCCTCTGTGATCATCTGAAACAACCTGATGAAAGATTAGGCCACTCATATATTCAAGCGTGGTTAGCGCCTCCAAAATTATTATGGCCGCACCCCCTTAGGCTCTGCTCCCACTTACCTGCCGTATGTTGTTCAATAGATGGCCCACTCTCCTATTACCTGTCTTAGTCCACTACCAGAACATGCTCCGCCCTCCTGAGGGCGTGTTGAAGTAGGTGGTGCGAAACGGAGACGTCTTCAGCATCGTGGCCGTCGGGATGGCAGGCCGCTCCGTGAAGGGCCGCAAAGCCCAGGGGTAGGCTTGGCAATAGACGTCCGCAGGGCCCTTGGTCAAATAGACCTCGACTTCCGAGGAGGGAAATACAGGATACGACTGAAGAAAACCCCTGGGTTTTAAGCTGCTTCACCCTGTGTGAACATGTTTGAACGTCATAATATCGTCATACCACCCAACTGCCTGCCACAAGGCTTTTGAGTTTGGTCCGGGAGCGTTTGAGATGTTTGAGTTTGGTCTCAAGGAAGTCGCCAACCTCCTTCTCAACAAGCGGCCAGCACGTCTGCAGTGTAGTAGGAGCTGTCAATGCTGAGGACCGTGCTTTTGGGAAAGGGCGTCAATAAGTCTTGCCCTGCTTGATCGTCACGGAAGTCGTTGTATTCCGAGGTGCACCAGACATCATAAGAGGTATTGGGATCCAATTCCGAGAAGGTCACCGAAGAGAGCTCCTGCAAATCGGCCACCTTCAGATTGTCACCTTCCTTCAAGCTCTCGGCGGTGGGCAGGCCCAATTCCCGGATGTTCTCCGTGGGGAACACCTGGACCGAACGGACCCGGAGGGGTCCACAAGGCAGAGTCCAACTTGTACGATGGAACTGCCCAAGGGGGGCAGAAAGACATAGAAAGACGAAGAAGAAGAAGAAGAAGCAGGAGGAGGAGGAGGAGATCGACGATGATGATGATGATGATGATGATGATGATGATGAGAAGAATAAAAACCAATTTCTGACCTTTTTTCGGTTGGCTTCAGCCATTTTGTTCAACATCTCAACCTCTCCACCGCGATCCATCGGGAATCCACGGAGCCGAGCATGCTCGGGAATCGTCTGGTGAAGGCGCCTGACACCAAAGGTATCCGATGCTGATCAGCTGGGTGCTGACCGTAATCTCATCCCAGAACATGAGTCGATCGCGGACGATGCGCATGGAACTGATCGTAGAGTCCTCCTGGAGATGATCGAGGCGCCACACCCAAGTCTCTGGAGGTACACTCCAGATTACGTCCAAAGGGTCACTAGGAGAGCGGAGATGGGGAAAATGTTAAGGGAAAAAACGCTTGGGCACCGAATTGCCCCTAGACGCAACTGTCTGCAGATTTGCAAGTCTGAGATTATTCGTCTGTCGGCGTCTGTCGGTGTTAGTGTCCCCCCGTGATCAAAGATATCAATGTGCCTCGAGGCAGCCGAATTGTTTGCCAAAAGGGTTGACCTTCAGTCTTGGCAACTCAACGACTACTACCCGTTTTCGCGGCGCATAACTAGTGGAATGAAGGCTAGACGGTCCGATTCGAAGGCCAAATGGTCCGATTCGCAGATCCATCCAGAAACGATGGGAAAAAGAATGGGTGTGTTCAACACGAGCGGCGTTTCAACATCCCCACTTGGTGCCCAGCAGCTCCTGTCAAATCCCTTTTTGATGTGTCTTTCTTGGGGTGGAGAGGACTCAAGCCATTTAGCAGCCCCCTCTCCAAAGCCGAAACCCGTGTCCTTTTCCGTCGTGAGGCTACGCCGGGTGGCCTGGCAGTGGTCCAAGCATGTCCAAGTGTCCAAGAATAGCACCAGTTCTGAACGGCTTCCGTCCAGTCGTTTTGTCTGTAATCCCTTGAAGTCTGGGCCCCCCAGGTGAGATTGATATATATATATATATACCCTAGAAGTCCAAAGACTATATTTGGCCCCACTGGAAGTAAAGCATATGCCTTTTCGGGTCGCCTAGTCAGACCATTCTTTTGATAGTCGACTTGACTCCCAGTATATAAATCTCCTAAAGCCGTACAGTACCACGTCAGATGCGGCCCCTCACGACGGCGGCAGAAAGGCGACATAGGCGACCCTTTTTGTCCACGTGGAATGCGTACGGTCGTGGCAGTCCTATTTGGTTCAGAAGAGCCATGTCAAGTTCCAACTCCTTCTCACATCCTCCAAAGCCCCACTGAGACAAAATAAACAAGCACAGCGGACGATCCATGCTCCGTTTGGTCCCCTTCCACCGCTCCAAACAGCCCAAACTTCACAGCTCCACCGCACCCGGGGCACCGCGCACGGACGGGAGCCATATCGTGCCTCCATCTGCTGCAGGACGCTTTCAGTGCCGCCGTCCGACTCAGCCATGCAGGCCACGTGGTACTCGGTCTCGGGGAGCAAGTTGCCCAGGGTCAAAGAGATGGAGGCGCCCGTGGAGGTCAAAATGGCGAAGATATTGGGCTCTCGGATCCTTAGGCCAAGCAAGGATCCGGGGGTGGCGGAGCATCTGCCGCCCCAAATAGGGCTCCTTAGGTCCTTCGGTGTTTTCTTTCAGGATTGACTGGTGTTTGGTGGGCTTTGGGCGTAGCGAACCGAACCCGGCCATCCGCCTCCCGAAAGAAACATGTTTAGGATGCACTCGATTGGTTTGAAGACCCCATGGTGCTGGCAGAACAAAGCAAGTCCTAGACTTGGATCCAAAAACACTCCACTTGGAGTTGGGCAAGGAGATTCGGTGAAGTGGACTTGAGAGTTGTACAACACTCTTCAGCACTCAGAAGCCTGCCTCGGCGGACTATGACATGGTCCTGACTCCAGGCTAACTGGGGCCCGTCGACGCAGAAGTAGCGATGCATCTGCGGATGTTGAAGAAACGACCTGCAAATCTACCTAATTACATGACCTACCATCATCTACCATCCAACTCTGCATCAGGGTGGGAGCAATATGTTCCCACTTCTTTCATCCAAATGCTCCCTCGATGGAGCTGCCCAACCATCTGAGACGCCATGAGTGGCCTGGATCTCTGCGAAGCCCGTTTGAAGGGAGCACCAATTACCAATCGGTTGCCACACCACCCCGAGGCATCCACACAAAGAAGAACCATGCCAGACAGCCTACGCCTTCGCTACCGCCTTCGCTCCCTTCCGGACCCTTCCGGACGTCCCACCGATCGAGATCCACGGTGGGCTCCGCCGTCGCTCCGCACTTCCCGCGCTTCCCGCGGTTCTCGCCCAGGCGCAGCTCACCGGAGATGGTGGGCGCCTGCGAGGCATTCACCTCGAAGGCATTGCAGAAGATCCGCCCTGGGCCGAGTTTTCACCGGATCGGTTCTGAACAATAGGGGACAGGTCAGACGCAGGTCACCGGCAGGGTCTGGGTCTAAAACATAGGGAGGGGGAAAAGGTCGGCGAAAATGAAGCAGAACATCTTCAAGGTCGCCGTTCTGTAAGGCCTAGCAGGGGGGTGTTTGAAGTGGAGGATGTGCACCTTCAGTGCACATCCTCAGCTGGAATGGCCGCATGTCAGAACCAGGACAATGGAGGACTTCTTCACCCTGACCCTTGGGCGTGCCAAGTTTACGCCAGCATGGTGCTCCAAAGTGCCGTGGGGAGTTGATTGACTCCAAAGATCTTAGGGCTATTATAGGAATTGAATCCTGCTTGCCCTTGCGAGACCTAGGTAGACCTTGGAGGTTCGCAGATTCTCCAAGCAAAATCTCTTTGTTCAGCCCCCCGCCCAGCCGCCCTTCGCGTTTGGTTGCAGTCAAGTGGGACGAACCAAAAGGCCATACAAAACTTGGGGGTCGAAGACTAGTTTATAAATGGAACTTCCATGAACTTCCTATGTCTTCCCTTCCTTTACTTCAGTCGTGGGGCACCAGAGTAGTTGTTGGACTTCCAGGAACGGAGCCAACATGAGCCAAACTACCAATGATTCACGAACCCTGAAAATAAGGGAAACATCCCTGGTGATGGATGGGTTGCATGCCTGTAAAGAGGTCATTCTACATAGAGAAATGGTGCATGCCCACGTCATAGAGCCACCATCACCCTGATCTCCTCATCTCAATCTCCTCATCTCAATCTCCTCTCATAGAACAGCTTCCCTTATTACAGTACCTGGTGATCTATTTGATCTCATCCCAATCTCCTCCCCATCACTGCGCGTGCGGCGCCTGGCTGACTCGCCGAGGCCACCAGGCCCAGGGTCCTCCGACCGAGGCGCCGGGGCCGCGCCGCGGAAGATCCATGGGTGTCCAATAGAGACCTATAGAACATCCTAGAACTAGTGGGTTCTGAATGGTGGGTGACCTGTTGGAAGCTGGACTGTCTATAAATTGTGTCTCAACTTGACTGGATGGACCCCGAAAAGAAGAGGTTCAGGGGCCCGGTGGTCTTGCAGCTTTGGAGCCACACCCAGATGGGCGGCGAGATCACTAGACATCACACAGATGGCGGACTCAAAGTTCTTGGCCGCTTCCCGTCGGCATGGCATATGATGTCAAATCCATCTGGGCCTACCCAAGTGCCAAAGGCCCCATGGAGGCCATGGAGGCCCACAAAGCTTGGACAAAATAGTTCCATGCAGCACGCCTGTTGGGAAGACATGACGCCCCCACGCCACACCACGCCCCCTCACCGTCGGCCCTGTCCTGGCACCCACGAAGCCACCCCAAACGAAGATCTCGGGCGGAATCTCGTTGCCGCAGTTGAAGCAGCCGCCCGTCCTGTGGCCGAGCTCCAAGATCGACGTCATCTGATGTGTGTGTGTGTGTGTTCGACGAAAGGTGTCGAAAACAACTAAGTGAGTGCCCCCATGTGCCCCCGCTACAGCACGAAAGGAGTCACAAAGGGGGTGGTTTTTAGTCCCTAAGTGAGTGGATCATGAGCACCCCTATCCTCCAAGTTCGGCACCCCGTCTTGTGACAGACTGGTATGTTCCCCTTTTTGGTTGTCAGATGTTGTGAGCCTCTCCATACTCAAACAACCGGAGCCAACTGGGCTCACTCCGTCCTGGCGGTCTGGTAGGTGCGACCGATGGCGGACCAGTTCGAATGCACCAAGGTCACCGGATCTTCGGCGGAGCAATAGGTGTTGTAGACCTGGGAGGGCAGATGAGACACCCGACGAGCAACGAGAGTGGACGCCGGTCCACTCGGAGTGGCGGGGGGGGGTTATTTCGTGCATCCGTGCCTACTTCCGGAGTTCAGGGATTACAGGGTCTCTTATTCAATGAGGGATGTGTCCACCACCAATACAAGAAACAGAGGATGCCATCCACCCCAAAACACCCCCCAGTCCACCCGAAAGGAGGCGGCCTTCCTTTCTCCCCCGGCGCCGTGGACCGGCGGTGGGGTTCGGCCGTTCGGCCAACGTCCGCGACGACTCCAAGGACTCGTGCGTCGTTCGACACGCAACGCGTTGGTCGGCGAGGGGCGGTGTTGGGGAACAAAAGCCCGCTGATGGTGATGGTGTGCTCGGGCTTGGCCAAATACTTGTACTTCTGTGTGAAGCTCGCCTTGGCGTCGCGGACCGTGCGGACCGCGGACCGGTGCGGGAACCGGGGGGACCGGACACATCCCGGGATGGTCCCAAGTGAAAAAGGGGCTTGGCCGGAAGATGGAGGCGAAGATGAGGGGATGGCCTTGGGATGCATCATATTGCATCATTACGACTTGCAAATCTACTTGCGCCAATCTTCTCTGCCTTTCTTCAACCCTTTCCCCACACAAGCTCTGCAGGAACAATAGAGAGACCTTCACGTCTACCAAGGGGTCTAGAAAACACCCGGCCCGTCTTCTTGTTTTTTCGCGGTTCCTACCACCCCTCTCAAGCAGCATGATGCTTTTTTCTCGAGCCTCCATGGACCTCTTTCTTGACACATGAAAGCGTGTCGTTGGGATGCTGGATTCATCACGCGTTTGTCAAATAAGTTGGCTTCATCTCAATGACTCTCCTGTGCCCAATGGGGTGTAGCCTAGCTGAATGGAGACGCCCACCCTGCCTGGGTAGACTGGTCGATTTTCCGAACCGAACCCACGGGGGGTCGTTGCCACACCTTGAGCTACAGAGACTGAGCCGAACGAGCTACACCCCACCAACCTCCCACGTCCAGGTGACGATTGGGGACTCTGGGAAGCGGTTGTTGGTGTCGTACTCGTCCTGGGGGCCGGAGTGGCTGAGCCGAGTGCTACATGGCTGGACCATGGAGGAAGAGTTCCAAGTCTCTAAAGGTCAAAGCTGCACTTTCTGCCTCACCCATCCATTGGAAGTGGAAGACCACCTGCTTGTAGAAAAGAATTGCCGGCAATTGTCCATTTACAAACAGGCGTCTTTCCACTTCCGTGAAGGATCATGAAGGTGTCAGAGTAGGTTGCCTGAGTCGCCTGCACCTTCGAAAGCTGCCTTGATTGACATCCTGTGAGACCTCCAAATATGCGGCCCGCAGCCTGAAGCAGCTTGCAGTTGGTGCCGCTGATCACATCCTGCCCCACCACATAGAACTCCATGGCCACGCAAAGGTCCCGAGCAATGCATCTCGCCTCGAGGTGCTCCAGCGAGGCAAGAGGTGTTCTGAGGTCATGCAATCTCCCAAGCCAAAATCCAAAAGTCTAGGTGAACCTCATCCCCATCCAAGCCGACCAAAAAACAAAAGAAAAGAAGACACACCGGGCATGCGGCACATGTGCATGCTGTGAGCCACCTGCACCACCTGCACTGAGGCATTTCCCGCCACCCCCCCGGGCACGCGCCCATTGAGCGGTGAGCTGAGCGCTGAGAGGGGGGGATCCACCGAGGACACGGGTGCCTCGCAGTCTTCCAAGGTGTTCACCTGCACCCGCTGGAGCACCGTGGCGTTCAGCTCGCTGGCGGAGAACTCGGAGCCAATGAGCGCCATCCTAGGAGTGAGGCGGAGGCGGAGGATCAGTGGGGATTGAGGGCTTGGAGGATGGAGGAACAAGAAGCTATACTAGTAAGGGGTTCAATTAGGAGGGTTTGGAGGATTTGGAGTTTGATGCGAAGCTGTATCGCAAGAAGCTGTTTGGGAGGTGGCCTTCGGAGGGTTCACGAATCACCATGCACGCACGGGTGCATCTGGAAGTCATATATAGATATACTTTATACATAATCATACACATACATATAGATACAGTATATATACAGTTGCTTCGCGCCAAAGCCTCAGCAATACACTTGTTCCATCTTGTTCCTAGTGGTGAGCAGCACAGAACTCGAGAGCCAGGGCCAGGGCTACAAGCTGCAGGGGATCAGGACCTATACTATACTAAGCAATTAACAACATCATCTACAGCACCACTGTAGGCATAGTGGCCGTCACCAATCCTCTCACATTTCCAGGACGCCAAGAACAACACCCACTTTTCGCGCCGAGCTTCGCCCAGAGCTGACCTTTCACATTCATGGCCTAGGTGGCGGCTAAGTCGGTCTGGGGCCCCAGCCCGCAGCACCCGAAACCGTTTCAAGGTACACCCTCCTCCAACAAACACGGAGGTGGACCATCCCCTGTTTTGTAGAGGAAAAACCGTCTTTCCACGGGCCATGTTCAACTTCCATGAAGCTGAAAGTGGCGAATCTCTTCCGAGGTTGGCGATAGAGGTTGGCTTCTTGAAGGATCTTGGTAGCGAGGGAGCCTGGAGTCGAACGGACCCCTGAGTTCAGGCCTCGTTGCCTTGAAATCAGCAGATCTCCTGCCTACGATTTCGGGAAATCAGCGATTTTTTGACCAAATCCTTGAGGAAGTTGAGGCGGCAACCCCTTCCTTTGAATCAGACAGACCCGCATGAGAGCAGGTGACTGAGTCCTCAGTCCTGAGCAACTGTCAAGTTTGAACGCCCCGAACGCCACAGCGCGCGCTGCAGGGCCCAGCGACACTCTCTCCCCATGATTTCAGCTCCAAGTGCGTAGGAACCCGGAGCTCGTAGCGTGCGTCGATGACACCACCTGGGCCCAGGCCCTGGCTTAGCCGAATGGAATAGCTTAAGCCTTCCAAGCAGCCGTTGGGGACCGTGATGACAGGTGGTTTCGAGCGGCGGGCGAGGAACTTCTGGCAGGCGAGGACGATGGGGTGAGACACACACATCAAAGAGCACACCAAGATAAAGACAAGTGCCAGGACAAAGAACAGCAAGACATTGGGCTATCTCAGGAGATCATGGATGTCAAACAAGCAAGCAAATCATGAGCAAATCGCATGAAGGCGTCTCTCCCCAGCCGCCACTCTCCCAAAAAAAGAAGCCTCCTGGGACTAGTCCAGATCTCTCCAAGGCACAGTAGATGTTGGCCTCAGCGTACGCAGCGTACGCACCGTACGCACGTCAGGGGGTCACGTCAAATCCCATTCCAGCTTCAGGCTTCAGGTCAATCCCGGACGTTCTGTCTGGCGGGACACTGCGGAAACCTTCACCCCAAAAAACTCCTCATCTCCTACACCTCACACCTCTCCCCCCCTGCTCCCTCCGCCTCGCGCTCCACGTTGAAAAGGATCTTCGTCACCGAGGTCGAGATCTCCAGCGCCGTGACGTTCAGCAGCGGCGCCGTGTCGTTGACGTCGCCGGCGTTGGCCGTTTCGGCGGCCGGCAGGTTGCCCACCACGGTGTCGCCCGGCACGTGGTAGCGGCAATTGAGCTGCCTCGGTGGAAGGGGGTGGTGGTGTGGTCCTGGGTGTGGAGCGCTTCGATGTTGTGCGGTTGGGAGGAAGAACGCTACAGTTCTACACCACCTGAGGTAGCTTGATGATGAGCACACCGAGCCCACGAAAGCAGGGCTGAGCTGATCTCGGATCAGTAATACGTATTCATGCAACTATATATATATATATCTCTTGCCAAAGCCTGCGACGAAAATCCCGAATCTCCTGGTTCTCTTGCTGTTACTAGCTTGTCCAGCCCCCTGCGGTTCTCCGGAGCCAGTTCCCCGGCCTGGGGCCTGACATGTTCCCGAAGTCCACAGGGTTCGCACCAATCCACTTGGCATTCATCCGGTACCAGACTTCCTGCTGGGATGTGCTGCAAAACAAGGACGCTCCTAGATCACAGAAACCCTAGATCACAATGGGCATTGGTGCTCATCGCCTCAACTCGCTTGCCTGTGCATGTGTGTGTGTGTGCGCCATCCACTCAAGTCATCTTGCAAGAAACCTGCAACCAGAAGTTCCGGGACAGGGGATGGATTGTAGACCCAACTATACTCTCAAACAGCCGGTGGGTACCCCTGAAAAATACAGAAAGGTACGCACTACTACAGCTACAGGCCCCAGTTTCTGAGCGCTGCAGTTTTGAAACCTGAGCTGGTCTTCCAACGAAAAAAACACCTGCTCAGCCCGCAGCCTGCGGATCACGCCACGGGCAGCAGTTGCTGGGCTGCTCGTAGGCGGGTTTCCACAAGGTGTCGTTGAATTCCTCAAGGTACATGAAGAACAAACCAGCAGGGAGGCACCCGCTCAGTGCACGACGGGTAGCAAGATACAAATTATGCCTAGCGCTTCCAAACGGGTGTCCCATTCCCAGACCGACAAAAAAGCCTGCTGGTAAGTCTTCTCTTGACCAAAGATCTACCAAAGATCATGCCCAAAACATGAATGAGCCCCCAACACATTCAGGAGGAAAAGCTGGAAACGATGTCCAGATTCTGCAGGGCTCACCTCCTGGGCTCACGTCACCCATGTCGCACCCTCGAGGCACCGGTTCAGCATGGGCACTCACGGGGTCACCCCACCCAGGAACCCAGTGACTGCCGTTGTCTTCCACCGATTCTCAGAGATGAGAACCACATATGCCAAATGTCTGCCTTTGGCTGGTTTTTATGGGCGAAAAGGCAGACATTTGGCATAGATCCAGGTACGACTTCACCAACTTCACCTGGGGGGTCCTCTGGCCGGATCACTTCAGTCAGGTCATCCCACGCAGGCTGCCCAGCCACTCGGAAGAAGAACGGCGTGCGCTCATCATTGTTCTCCTTCTCCTGTGCCGTGCAGCTTGCTGTGTTGGCTGCGACGGAACAAAATGCCGTGCCGTTTACCTTCCATTCGAGCATGTCAAAAATGGTTGACCTGGCTTTGTTGTGTCAAGTCCTTGCTAAAACAAGGGTTGTGTTTAAGGGTGGTTGAAATCCTGGCGTAATGTGTGACAGAACATGACATAACCTACATCGGGGTTGCAAAGGAGCTAATTCAATGCTGACTGGACTAGGGAGGCATGGTTCCCTTATTCCCCACTCAGCACCAGTCAGAATGTAAGGGCATCTGTTCCAGACATGGTGTGTGTGTGGCTTGCACACTACAACAGAACCAATCGGATCCCTCCTGCGTGCTGCATTTGAGGTCGCTCGTGGACAGCCTCGGATTCCGGCATGTTCCGGTCGCCGACTGGCCAGGGTGGCCTGCGAAGAAGGGGAATGGAGGCAGATGTTGCACCCATGGCACACATGGGCGAAAAAGGGCATCTTATGGCGGTAAGGACTCTCCAACTATCCTGGGGATCCAGGAGCTACAGTTTATGGAGTGGATCTTTCAACAGTGCGTAGTGGCACCACCAAGTCAACAGTGTGCACATCACTTCCATCTCCTGAACCACTCCTTCTTTCGCCGAGGGGCATCCCATTGCGCGAGGCCATGATCATCCCGAGGGGTGCCGGATACTCGGTGTTCTGTCCCAACGCATTCGAGACATTGACCAGCTCCGGCCTGCAACGAACGCACCGGTTTTCTCCGCACACCGGGCGGAAGACGGAGACGCTGGGGACGACCTTCGGTGCGACAAGGGGACGGAGTGTATCCCGGCTGCGGAGGCCTGGAGAGTTCCAACCGAACGAAGCATGCCATGTGTGGCGTAGGTGCCAGCCTGTCCTAGTGTTGTTGGTCCTCTCCTTTGATGCTGCTTCCCAGGGGTCTCACATTAGGATCATCACAAACAAGCTTTGCAAGAACCTGTCTAACAGGTCTTTCCAGTTGAGAGCGGGTGCGAAACTTGATGAATCTCAAGCCGGGCCCCCGCTATATGCCTTGTCCACTTCTTCCAACAGAAGAAAGCCGCCAAATGTAGTCAAAAGGAGGTACCAACGTAGCAAGCCATGACCTAACCACATCGGGAACCAGTGGTTCCAAAATACCAAGAGATTGAGCAGCCGTATAGCATCTTATAGCCTATCCGGGCCTATCCCATATGTACCAATACAGGGTCCTAGTGCAGGTCTCTCAACCTAGTGGGGGAAGCTTGGCCGTCCTCATCCCCACTCCCCTCCTCATCCCACCGGGTCCAGCCTTGAGGTGATCAGCCTGAACGCCAGCACGTCGCCCTTGTCCAGGCCCAGTGGGAAGACCATCACCTCCGGTGCCAGACCGACGTCTGGGGTCTGTAAGCATTTCAGGCTCAGCGGGTTTTGGGATCTGCGATTCAGGGTGCAACTGGAGTGGTCTGGAAAAAATCCCAGTTTGGAGAGTGGACTGGTGCGAAGACATTCACCCCCAGCAGTTCCAGCGATATGGAAACGCCACCTGGTCTGGAAGATCTGGAAGGCTGAAACCCATTTGGACCAAAAGTGGTGGCTTTGGAGCGCCCAGGTCGGGTCTTCCCCATCTCCGGCGCCTTCGCCGGCGTGTCGCTGGCCACCACGCGTCTCACCCCGTTCCTCGCGACCGGTCGGGGCGACCCGGACCGGGAGGGGTAGACCCAGCAGCCGTGCACGTCTGGGACCACATCCCCCTGGAGTTCGCTGGCTTGGCCATCCCAATGCAAAAATGGGCCCCAAGTGGAAGCAAGGAGCCACGCAGTCGCAAAAACTGCTTGAAGCTCAGACCCATCCAGCAACTGGATCACGGTGCCATTTACCACTGTGAGATACGAGATGATACGATATGATGCGAGATGATACGAGTAGTTAGCAGTGCTGAGTCTTTTCTCGGCAGGATCCTAGGGCCTGAGCGCTTCCTTGCTGCACCATTTGGAACCTCTGCTGCCTGGCATACAAAGTCACCCCTGTCTAGAAGGCCTGTGTCAACAAAAGGTTGGTGCTCCAAATCAGGAGCCACTCATCATGCTCTAGGTAGTTAGTTAGAGGGATTTCTACACTTCTGGGCGCCGACCGCACTCCACTCACCTATAGCCCTTGAGCCACCCCTGTGCAAGCTTCCTTGAAGGTGAAGCACTTTGGAGGGAACCCTCCCATCTCGAATATGAACGATCTGAAACCGCTGGAGATACGAACCTAGGAATCCACACGTCCCGCGCCCGCCTCCACCGCCCCAGGTTGACGAGTTGCAATGGAATGAGGGAGGTGGAAATGTCAGCGGCCACATACGCCCTCAGCCAATGCAACATAAGACCGATCCAAACAGGGCAGGGGGGGATCATCCAGCAGGGCAGGGGGATTGGTTCCCAAATGTCCATGGATCTGTCGACCAAGCACAGCTGCCGTCCGAATGCCTCCTGGAGCAAGGCACTCATACGGCCATGGGAAACCCTCCCAAGTAGGGAGACCGAAGCAGGGACATTCAACTCGTGGAGGGCATAGTGGCATAGACATGCATAGACCATCTTACCTGCCTGTGGATGAAGAGTTCCCGAATCTGATGCCAAAAGCCCATCATTTGCATTCAGCATCCGCCTTCTGAGAGGGGTGATTGCAACTCAAATCGCCGATTCAACTACACGCCTGGATCTTCCTTACCTTCCACAGTTCTCTCAATAAGATTTGTGTGCAACCCCCTCCTTACATCCTTCGCACTCTGTGGGGGGGTCTTTCCATGCCTTTCCATCATCAAGGCCCTTATTTGATCAGTCACACCGAGGTTTCACTGCTGTTTCAGTGCCACCGGCAGGCCGCCTGAATGCTGCTCCAGCAGCCCAGACATGGAATGTAAAGCCTCTTCTACCTCCCCTAGCACGATCCCAACGCCAAACCTCTTCATGCCAGGTATGAGTGCAGTTCACGGTCATTCTTCGCTTCTGGCCGTATCCCCAAACCCACCCACGACCTGCGCTCAAGGGAGGTTGGTCCAGTCGCCCATTGTGATAGACATCCACATAGGTATCCCCTTCGATTACCAGCGCCACCAAGGCCAGCCAAGCGATCCGGCACCTCGAGGGCCAAGATCAGGACCGCCAAGAGGGGGGGGGGGGCGATCCCTCAAGAGGGTGCCGGGGAACCAAGGGGCCATGGCTTTTTGTTGCATGCTCCATTGTGTCCAAAAAAGGAATCCATGGGCCAGCCTGGGGGGTGCTGCTGGAGCTGGGTTGGGGCTTTCTGGATTCTGCCAGCCCTCTTAAAGAGGTGCCTGGCTGGCTCCAGCTATTTTGACAGCGTTTCTTCCGCCAAGGACTGGGAGTGCAGGGTCCAAAAACAACATGGTTTTCTCTAGGTGGGGCCACCCGCTGGCTTGATGGTTTACATACCCACATGGACTGGGCGGACGAGCTCGAAAGAGACGAGGGACACATCCAACCAACGGAGCCTTCCACGGTTCTCGATTCTCGCGGGGGTCCAGCGGTCCATCGGACCAGCGATGCTAAACGCAGCATGTGCACCGCGTCCGCGGAGCCAAGGCGCTGAAGCTGCAGGAGCAGCACACGCAGGAGCGCGGCCTCGAGGTCAAGCAGCGCTTCGAGGCCCAACGCAGGTTGACGCGTTGGCAGAACTTGAAAGGAAAAACAGGGGTGGGGTGTTGACGTGCAGCGCTAGGCTGGGGGACGTCTGGGGATGTCAGAATGTCCACTAGGGGACAGGAACGCCCGGCACCACAAGAACAATCCCTGCCTGTCCTGCTCACAGCCTATCCGCTGAACGCACAAGACTGGTACGGAGATAGGAAAGTCATATGCAACTGTTCGCTGGGGAGAAGAATGTGGGGCCCCTGTGAAGCAGCATCAACCCTTTTTCACACCTCCTTGATGATCCTTAATGTAGACTCTTGATTGATAAAGCCCCCATCTAAAGGGATTTTGCAATCCAATTGGGGGGCTTGAGTGGTCAAGAGTCTGCATGAAGCGATCTGCTTCAGGCTTGACCACCTGCAAGATCGCTTCCCTGGACAGTCCTGGACCATGAAACCCTGCCACATCCTCTGCACATGACATAACTCTAGTGCTGTGATATGGATGTGGAATGATGTGGATATATGTCATATGTATGTCACATGTCATATGTGGATCATGCACCGCGTGCGCCCAAGCCGAAAGGCACTCCGAAACACATCCACGTTGCCAACTCTGTCTGGCTAGAAAAGGTCTGTCTGGCAACAACAGAGGTTCTTCAGAACCCGACTGTTCGACAATCCCATAGGAATACACTTCACCAAAGGTTCTCCCACAAGTGTTCGACTCTCCCATAAGAACCCGACTGTTCGACTATCCCAGTTGGGCACCCCAGGTGACAGGCCCGAGACCTTCACGTCACAAAACACGGAAAGTCGGGCGGTGCCGCCCAGAGGCGGATCGCATGCCGGGCGCGAGCGGCAACACAGCGCGCGGCGCGAGCTACCGCGGTGGCCGTGCACCTGATTGGGGGGCCGGTTGGGGCAGTCATGGGAACAGTGGAAGTTGCTTGGGAAAAAGCTGGCTTTTGGAGCGAAGAAAGGTTTAGTCAGTGGAAGCTTTTTGTTGTTCAACCATCACATCAGCTACCCCAGCTCCATGGTAGATCCTTAATCTAAAGTTCTCGAAGCTTGATATTTGAATCGACGGTAGAACACCATGGAATCTATACCCACTGACCGCAGCGGCTTCTTCAGGGCAGTCATGCAAGGAGTTCCTTTTTGGAGGGTCCTCCACGCTCCAAATGTTTTGGTCAGGAGCAGACAAGGACAGGCGAATCAACTCCAGGAGCATTCATGGACCCTGTTGGGGGTTGCATGTGTCCCCCCATCTATATAAACTTCCCGCTGCCGAGCCCACAGGTGGGCGCCATCTAAGCTAGGTGTGCCAGGTTCGTGGGCCAGCCAACAGCCAACACACCCCAGCTCACAATTATGCAAATAATGTATATTTTATATGCTCTTGAACCAAGCGACAAGCCATCCAGCTGGTCCGGTGCATGGCAAAATCTTCGAACGTTCGGCCGTAAAATTCTTGCAAGAAGAGAAGTTGAGTCACTTGAGAAATCCCCTTGCTGAAGTTGGATCAGGCTACAACAGTCCGATCATATCACTGAAAACCAGTCAAGGCGACATCTTTCATGTGCTGATGAGTCTGATGCTGGTATGTTCTGGACCATGCCAAGTATATAAGAGATATAATATATATATATAGATATACTGTATAGCAGTATAGCATTCTATAGCAGTAGCATTCTCATGACACGCCATGACGCGCCCGGGTGCAAGCATTGCTCCTTTGGAGCGTGCTTGATCTTTCGTTCGCACCCGAAACGGCTGCACCGCTGGTGTCGTGCTTCATTCGGAACACTTAGTGGATCAAGTCGCCCCCGCCCATCGTTCAGGGACGTTGCAACCCGCCTTCCCCCAAAATTCGATGGGGTTGGTTTGATGGGGTCCATGCGAAGACATGCCAGACTCTTGGCAGGCGCCTGTGGGTGACGCGGTGGGCATGAGTCATGAGGCTTTTTGAAGTATGGATCTTGGATCACAGTTGGCAAGGCTTTCGAGATTTCAGGAATCTTGCACCAAAGACACAGCCCGCTTGGCCAATGAAGCCCCCCGGAAGCCGAAAGAAAAACCATTTAACCCAACCAGAGACATAGTACAGTGGAGGGTAGTCCAACAGCTCATTCACGTTCATCTAGTCATCTCTTATCCAAGAGGCCAGACTCCTCATAGACCATCCCCCCGCCCAACCAAAGCACCACACCGCGATGGCACTCACCATCCGCCCACCTGTGAGCACAGCGGAGCTGCTACTGCCACAGCACAGCCTGCCGGGCCGACCCCTCCGCGCGCTGCCGTCCATCGCCTTGAACCGCGAGGTTGCCGTGCCGTGCCTGGATGGCCACCAGCTCGCCTCCCGGTTCCTTTGCCAGGTCTTGGTGTTCTTCTCTTGCGCCCAGCCCTCGCCGGCCGGGTCTCGGGTCTCGGGGGTCTCGTTTGGCGCAGGCAGGTGGAGAAGATGGGACTCTCCAGACCGTTTGGGCCGGGAATTTAAAAAAGAACGGGTAGGTCGCAGGCCTAGGCGGATGAACCTTCTGCTGGTGTGATCGGTCTCAACATGCCATGCTCCGACCCCAAAGGCCTACGAAATTGCTCAGTAAGGCCAAGGTCATGTATCGAAGCCACCCCTTCTGCATCGCACCCCACACCCCACACCCGCACTCCCTGACCCCCTCACCCCCACGCGACCCGACGCGTGGGAAACACATCCAGATCCGGTCAGATCCTGCTCCGCGAGCGGAGCGGCCTTGACTTTGAGCTCGGGTGGCTTCAGCAAGGTGGGCGCAGGCACATCTTCCAAACTCCCATCCAAGTTGTTCCTCCCAGCCAGCGAGGAACCGGCGCGAACAGAACCAGAGCCAGAACCCACCCGGTGAAGGACGTGAGGAGAAAACTCGTGCGTTGGGAACTAAGAGGAAGAAACCTCCGGAGGAAATTGGAACAAATCCCCCCGGCCGATTCTTCTTGAAAATGTTGCCGGGCATCTTCTACCGGGAAGCTTGAAAGAAACATATTGAAAAAGTCAGCATCTCACAACCCTTCCCCATCAAGTGTGCTTCCAAACCGTGCCAGCGCTCATCTTCGAATCGCGAGCTCGGCCGCGGCCTGTAGGGGAGGCGCCCTTCGGTTCCGGAGCCGAAGTAGATGACGCTTCCATTCTGCATCAGGACGACCTCAAGCCGAAGGGGGGCACGGACTCGGATACATAGACGGAATGGCATGGGTTCTTTCCAGGTGAAGTTGTGCTGATTGGAGGCCAGGTATGACATGGTATGACGACGGAGTTCGGGCCAGCTCAGGAATCTTTTTGGCGTCAGGGGGTCTCATAATGGCGCAAAGAACCAAGAACGTCACCTGTGTCGATCTTTCAGTCCACACTGTCTGGAGACTCCAGCTCTTAGCAAGTGAAGCAGCTTCTGGCTCTCAAGCTTCAGCGTGCATCAGCTGCTTTTCTGCCAGACCAGGCTCTGAACAGGTTCTGCCCATCTTCGCACCACTTCGCACCAGGCTCTCCTCCCATCTCGCGTCCTTCAGACTGAGCACCCCCACGGTGTGCAGGGGACCTGCAGCAATCTGATAGACCTCAAAGGATCGGTTTGGGCGGCGGTTTGGGTCGGTTTGGGCGTACAAGGGGTGGAGGGTGGAGGGTGCCCGCTCGACCACTCGCTCCTAGCACTATCCCCCGGGCTTTCAACCACCTTTGATTTCATGGTCTTTTACCCAGGGTCCGTGAGAAGCGTCACACTGCCCACAAGAGAGAGAGAGAGAGAGACCCAACCATCATTGTTCTACTAAGGGCTTTTTGCACTACAACCCCAGGCCCACCGTTTTCCATGGTCTTGGACTTCCAGGGGCGCTGGGCTCACGGAAGACGAAAGCTCCAGCCGCCCCACCACCTGCGGACCATTCCACCACGCCACCTTATGGGGGAAGTTCCATCCGCCTCCGGGCAGGAACGCCTGCATCTACCAAGCCCACATGGATGTAAAAAAACAACAAACAAAACAAAAGCATGCAAAGCACAAAGGTTCACCCTGAAACAAACAGGGTGAAAAGAATCGCCTGGACTCCGCCCGGGCCCCCCCGGCGGGATCCCGCAAGTCCAGCTTCACCTGTGGGGGGCCGAGGTTCGGACGGTCTGCTGGGAGCTGGGGTGCGGGAATTGGATAGGAATCCGTGCCCCACGAGCAGGGAACCCATGGTGAACGGGTCGAGTTCAAGGTGATCCAGGCGGACCTTCCTGCGGCACGGATCATGATGGATCTGACAGGAAGACTGAACTACCGATAGGAAGGAAAACTCGTGCCAAAAGCCTTCGAGTTCAAGGTGATCCAGGCGGACGAACGTCCGGCACACAATGATTGATAGGAGACTGAACTAGGAAAAAAACGACCGACCGCAGTCGAGTTTTATCACCTCGCGAAAGCGATCGCCTCAAACGCGCATGACATGCGATCCGGAGCCTTTTGCGCGACGACATGACATGCCTTTCCGAGCTGTTTCAGACCTGTCAAACTCAGCAACTATGCGCAAACTTCAACCTGTCCCAAGTTCGAGCGCTGTCAACCTCTGGAACAACATCGACCAAAAGACTGCACCATCTTCGGTTCCTTGTTGCTGGCTTCCTTCCGTGCGAAAAGGGCCACTTGAAGCTGCGAAAAGGGGACCAAACACTCCTCCCTCAACTGTCGCCACACGTTTCTGCGAACCTCTCCCCCCAAAACCAACGCCTGGCGTGGGGTGGTGATCACGTCCGCCACGTCAAAGCCAGTGGCCGGACCCTTGCCCCAACTGTAGAGCTGACCCTTCACCGACCTCGGGTCCGACCCAGCACCGGTACGGCCGAACAGGACCGCGGCGTAGGACAGAGGTATGCCTTAGGCCGGACATATGTTCCAAACATAAGCAACGGGCCCCCCAAAAAGAATAATGCGAGTCGTGTGTTGCAAAAGCTCTGGAAAAAAGTGAACGAATCTACAGTTAAATCAAACTGCAGGTATATCCGCATGCATGTCACTTGGGATTTTTGCCAAGTGATTCTAAACATACCCTCGTGCTTCCGAGGACCACAAAACCCCGGGAAAAGGTGGAGACCTCTGGTTGACATCATTGCCGGCTCAGAGTGCCACCCTCTTCCACCATCTCTCCACCCTCTTCCACCCATCGTTGGCACAACGACGGAACCAGGCACCCGAGCTTGGTGACAGAGTGCATCAAGCCCAAGGCCACTTGCGACATGGAGAGTCCCGACAAGCTCTCCACCCGCGCGGGGGACGGCATGTCGGTGCCCACGCCGTGCCCGCAGCGGCCGTAGGAGCCTTGGCCCCAGGTGAAGAGGCCACCCAGTTGGTCCACCGCCGCCGTGTGCGCCTCGTCCGGAACGTGGGGTCTCTCCGTACGCCGCCCGGAAGAGGTGGACGTCGTCCCGGCGCCGGGGAGCAGGTGTTTGAGGGAAGGTGGCTAGAGCCTTCATCAATGCGGGTTGTGGGAGAATGGGACTGGAGAGTGGAAAGTGGAGTGGAGAGAATGCATCGGCTGCTCTTCCTTCGGTGCATGTGTGGTTTCCGGTGGTCCAGCTTCTTCTCAGGTGACCTTTGACACCCCAAACCCATCGCCTCCCCCGCGGCGATGTAGGTCACTTTGACGCCATGGAGGTTCGACACTTGCCTGGACAGATCGGTCCGGGGATGGACCAGAGTTGCGGCCAGTAAGTGGAAGCCCTTCATCCCCAGCATGGTTGGGGGAAGCTTAGCTCACCGTTCTTTCTGTTTGCTGAAGGAGTGACCTGGAGCCCAGATTCCATGGGTGTAAAGGTGAGTGGATGCCTTACATTCGTTACATATGTCCAATATATGCGCTCATTATTTGTTGTATTTGTATTTTGGGATCCTGAAAGAACTGTGACCCTCATATATATATATATAATCCAACAAACAAATGCATGCATAAAATCACTGGGTGTTGTACAGTTCAATGTTCGTGTGACTGGGAATAACACCTCAAGCAGCCACCCTTGCCACCAAACCCAGCTCACCAGCGTTGAAGCCGCTTGTGCAATCATGTCTGGTTGTGGTCAATTAAGAACATTCCACCGTGAAAGAAATCATGAAGAAAAACGGATCGCTGCACCCCCCTCTCAGCGGATCGGAGCTCTTTTTGGGGTCAGGCGAAGGGGTCTGCGAAGAGGTCGTCCACACAGAACTTGGGCTCCTCCCGCTCGTCCAGGAGGCGACCCAACTCATTAATCTGCTCCTCAGATGCTCGGCCGCTCGGCCCAGGTCTCGAGACACCGTGCTGGACGACGCCGGTGGTCCCGTACGGGACCGAAGGACCTCATGTGCTCACCATGTGTGTTCAGTCGTGAGCACACTCGTTGGGGCTACGCTCCCCGGAAGTGGAAAATGGTCTTCCGAACTCGGGGCCAGGCCATCCACGTAACCATGGCCTGTTCGGAGGGTAAGAACAGTGGCCGGCGGCATGAAAAACAATATTCTACCCTATGGAACATTCTCTTCTACTTCTAGTGTGTGAACGAGAACGAAGCTTTGGAAAGGTCTACCGTCAGCCGTTTGACTCAGCAGCATGGAAAGGCCTCTACAATCTACAAATGGTGAAAGGGATTCCTACAACATCAAGGGCTCCAGTATAGTCTTCTCACCTGCGCAAAGAAAATAACGGCAGGGGGTTGAAGAAGGTCCTACCATCCCCTTTTTGGTCTGGCTTAATGTTTATGAAGATTGAGATCCCTGCCAACAGGCTTGAAGGACCACCATGTCCGATTGTCCGGCGATACATGTAGTTAATCATCAATATGTTTGCAGATCTAAAGGCCACCGCTACTGGTATCTAGCCTCTTGACAAAACATCAAACTCCAAGAACAGCTCTTTCTTGCTCATTCTATTCCGATATTCCGTCACCACTCCATAGCAATGCCCTTTCACCTAATAGACATAGGCAAACAGTCTCAAAATCCCCTGGACGGATCTCAGCCCAGCTTCAATGATCTTCTTCTCTTCGTTCTCCTGGATCTTTCTCTTCACCCTCCTCGCCTCCTCCTCATCCACCACCGTGCAGGGCGCGGGCTTCGGCTTCGGCGCCAGCTTCCACTTCTTGCGGCAGGCGGCCACCTCGCCGATTCCCCGGGCCGTTCCAAGGGGTTCTGCGACCCCCACGCCTTTGCTACACCCCTTCAACTACTCGGGCCACAGCAGGGGCATTTGCAAAGCCTTTTTTGATTTTTTTGAGGGTCTGGATCTTCAAGGCCATCGCAGGAATCCGAAGTTCGTCTCCCTTTCTTCGAAAGCCCAGGCCTGCGGGGTCAACTCTTCCCGCGGCAAGCGCTCCAGAAGCTCCATCAGCTTCAGCTTCTCCGGCTCCTTGTCAGCTTCGACGGCGACGATTGGGGACGGAGGGGCGTCCCAGGTGGGCGCGTCCAGCTAGAATCGGAGCGCGCCCTTTCATAGAACTAAATGGCCTTTCCCTATCAATGGGTTCTAGGCTACTAGGCATGTGTGTATAGAAATATCTGCACATAACAACATTGTTGACTCACATAAAGATTATCTATTTTCCATTGTTAGTCATTAACGACAAGAACAATTCATTCACGAACTCACCCTGAAGCACATGAAGTGTGGCTGGATCGCTACGACTATGTACGGCAGCACTGGCAGGCAAGATTCAACTACAGTCCACTTGCAAATCTTGGGGAGGCTCCACGCCAAATCAGTCCTTTAATTCGCCCTTGGTAGTGGCTCTGTTCTGTTCTGCGAGCCTCTCATCCGAACGCAACCGAACAAAGCCACCAGATGGCCATGTTCGGATGGCCCGTGTTTGCGGTCATCCGCTCCAGTCAAGAAATCATGAACCGCTGAGGGTCAGACATCATTGATTACAGCATATCACAGCTATACAATTATGGATATGTCATATATGTGATGTATGACTGCGGGCCCACACCTGGATGCCGACCGCTTTGACCTACGAAGTTCGCTCCACGGTGGAACCCCAGGTTGAACGACCCCATCCCCATGCTGAGACCCACTACACCATCCTCGGCCTCTCCTTGAACTTCAAGCGCTTCAACAGCCCCAGCGCCGCCCGCGCCACGGGGACCTCGGGAAGGGTGGGCCCGAGAACCCCGGTGCATCATGGTCGGCAGCTGTCCAAACTGATGGGCCGATGGGTGATTGAAACCAAGCTACTACTAACAAGACGCTACAAAGGTGGAGGCCATTGCTACTAGTAGCAAGAAGCTACTTGAAGCCATCCCGCAAAAGATCGTCTCTTGTAAGAAGCCCGTCCCAGAGAGGATGGAAGAACAAGGTGCTCCAATCCACCACCCAGCTACTAAGCAGTGAGGATGATAAACAGCGGGCACTTGGGACCGCATGCGCCACGTCGACTTCATAAAGCAAGTGTCCAACCCCGTCGCCACCATCCGCCTATCGATTTCTTTCGCGTCCTCGCAACCCCAAACCTCGCCCCTTTCAAGGCCTGCGCCCACCCTAAAGGACCCGCACCCGCGCCGCGCCTGGCCTCATCTTTGAAGATCCACTGGCACAGCAAATGGTGCCCATTCAGCTCCACCATTCGCCCGAGACGGCCCTCCTCCGTCTGCTGCAAGGCTCCCAGCACCTGTTCACAGCGCCGATTTCGAGCATCGGGCCGTGTTCGGCCGTCCTCAGCGGGAAGAGGAGTTTTGGTGCCTCGAAGAAGTAAGAGGCGAAATGAGCTGCAGTTGGGTGGTTGGGCTGCCTGGAATGCATGTTCAACTCGTCAACCAACTCGTCAACTTTGAGAATTCGTCAACTTGCGAATTCTTCTCCTGTCCTCCCCCTGCCTTCCCGTCCTGCCAGACCTAGCCTACCCAACCACCCGAGATGGAGGTGTTTTGGACCCGGCCCATCATGACCACAAACCGCTGAACGTTCCATGTGCCAAACCCCCTCGGTTTTGATGGGTACATCGGCTTTAGACAGGTCTAAAAACCGAATCTTGCAAGTCCAGGGGACAAGTTCCGCGGAACGTTCTCGAATCTCATGCCCGTCGCCTTCCCCCCCTCACTCGCCTCGAAGCGCTCCTTCGGGGTCAAAGGCGAGGTGGCCAGGCAGCCCAGGAGGTCCTTCATCTTGCCAGCTTTCACCTACCAGGTGGCACAATGGGTGCTGAACCCCTAAGAAGCGAGAAATGGACTAAAACCCATGGGTCTCCCCATCAGAACACATCTCATGTAGACAGTTGATGAATACAACCCCCCCATGTTTGATGAAACCTCTCCATATGTGGAGAGTTCTTATTCATCAAGAATCAAGAGGCTACCTCAAGGCAGGCCCATTTTTCACAGGTTCACGGCTTTCACATCTGTTCCGGCGGGCGATCAAACGACGCTTTGTTGGCATCCACCTCTATCTGTAGTTGGCTCCGCTCTTCACCCCACACCCACCTGGCCATTCTCCAAGAAGGCTTGGAATCCCTGGCCACGCACCGTCGCAGCAAGCACCGACCCAAAAACAAGTAAGAAACATTGAAATCTCACTCGCACTCAAAGGCCCGGCCCCTTCAAAAGCAGTTGCCTTCGTCTCCTCCTTCGTGTCCGTGACTTCCAGCCTTCCAGCGGTTCTGGGGCGAGACTTGTTCAACACCTGGTGATGAATGGGACTTTGGGGCCATCTTGGAGTCTTGGAGCAATCCAAATCACCAAACTGCCATCAGCGTCTGCCCTCAGCGCGGGTTTGCACATCATGCCAAACAGCCCAACCGATGCACACGTGCAGCCTCTCACACCAAGACTCTCCGCCTCACCCGTTGCCCAAGGTCTGGATGATAAGTCTGGATCAGGAAAGGTCGAACACCTTCGACCTTCCACGCCGTGCTCCACGGCTTGACCTCTTCCCCTCCCAGCCACCCCCCCCCCGAGCTGCAGCCTCTCTTCAGCCGTGTGGACGTCAGCCACGGCGGCCGCGGCGCCGCTCCGCCGCCGCCGGACCTCGCGCCGCAGCCTCGGGCCCGGGGACTCTCAGAAGGCTCGAAGTTCTGGAGGTGGGTGGGGGGCACCTATAACAACTCGAAAGCAAACGATACAAATAGAATTAAAAAAGGAAGAAGAGTTTGAAAACAACCATGCACCATTATACAATATTGATGTGTTTAGTTCATCTTGTTCAAAAAAAATGGAAAGCCTGCCAGGTTCTTGGTCACTTTCTTTGGAAGCCCTTGCGAACCGTGTCTTGTCCTCTTGGAGTCCTATCCTCCGGCCGCGCTGGCGAACCTGTCCTCCTCTTGTCTTCCTCCTGTCCTTCTCTTGTCCTCTTCTTGTTCCCCCATTGTTCCCCAAACAGTTCACTGTTGGTGTTCTCTTTCAGGAAAAATCGGGGATGTTTGCCTGTGGCTATGAATGGTTCAAATTTGATATCATCCTGCTCCCAAAAAGCCGCTTTTTTGCCTACATGCTGTTCCCAAACAGCTGGAGGCTATAGGAACATAATTACAAGCGTTTCCGCCAACATTTGAATTCAAGGAATTGAGGCAAAAAAAGAAAATCCTGCTGACACTGTCTGGGGCGTATAATGCTTGTCTAATTTTACCATTGTCTATACATGTCTAGCATGATTTATGCATGTCTATCATGTTCTATACATGTCCACGATTGTCTATACATGTCTGTCTATTATCAATTTGTATCATGTTCTATGCATGTCTATCATGTTCTTTTCATGCCTATCGTTGTCTTTACATGTCCATCACTGTCTATCATTCTCTATCCTATTCTTGAACTTGGTCGAAACATCACTCAACAGATCCTCCATCCCCTCGAAATCCACACAGGTTGGTGACAGTCCCGCGATTCGTTTTCCACAGCCACGAGGCTGCAAGAAGTGCTGGAAGAGCACCTCCTCGTCATGCTTCACCACCAAGGCTTGAGATGTCATGGAGGGGCAAGGGCTTCACAGGCGGAGCCCCGTACTGCTGGTTTCCAAGTTTCACATACGGGACCTTCATCAACCACCCCCAAACAAAGAAGGAAAGTAACCTCCATCTTACCTCTGCCAAGCTTGGTGGTGCCAGTGCTTAAATGAGTCAAAGGCCTGCTGCTTCGTGCCAGGGCTTGTAACAATGCTTCCCGTGCTTCCATGCATGCAGACCCACAACTGCAGGCCTTAAGGGAATTTAAGGATGCCTTGAGCCAAGAAGGGTGACTTCATTTGGTCTGTGCACTCCGCAGAGCTGTGCCGCCAGTGTAAGAAGTAGGAATGACACGGAGGAACTGTCTTGAGGGTCCATTGTTCTCGTCAACTCGGAAGAACACCTGTCTTCATGAGCAAAGGCGCCCCGCTTTCCTTAGTCAAAGGGCTTCCGCCCAAAAGCAGCCAGCCGTGTCCATCCCACCCAACCCCTAATGTAGACTTGATTAATAAACCCCCCGTATGAAGAGGATGTCCAATTCCAACGGGGTTTTCTTAATCAAGAGTCTACATTACCAATCCATTCACAGCAGCGCACTCAGGTCCCTCCTTTTTCGGGCACAGATTGAAGCCACCCCAGGCCTAAGCGGTTTTCTGCCAAAGGGGGCACTATCATTCTTCTTGCGGCCGTCCGTGAGTGGGCGATGGCGTTGAGCCTGAAATGCTGTCTGGCTTCGTTCGCAGTCTAACAAATCGTGAAGCACACTCATCGGCTGCAGCATGCAAAGGGTGAGGCACATCTTTGGGACTATTCAGCCCATGAGAACTCTGCCCAATTCGGACCCAAAGTCTGGTCCGGACCAGCTGTCCGGACCTCGAGTCTGTTCCGGTGAGAATTGATCACCGAAGAGCTCGTGAGTGGCGAGGGTCAGGGAGACCCAAACAACCACATACTACCAAACAACAGGCGAAAGGGAGGAAGATGGTCCTTTGGGATTGCATATCCTTTCAAAACAACACCAGTTCGTCGCATGGCCTCATTCTCTCAGCGGTCTTCTCTCAGCGGTCAGCCCGGATTGCCAGTCTACAGCCTCATTGGCCTGCGTGCTCTCTAAAATAATCATCCAGGTCTGCCTCAAAGCCCAACCCAGCCAATCCCAGCAATCCAGCCTTTTGTGGATCCACTCTCCAAACATGAATGGTAACCATCCCAAACCCACCACTTGGGACAAGCACGTTGGAGATGTTCGGATGAACTGTTCGACAGGATTTGGAAGGACACCCAGTGTCCCAAATAGATCGTAATTAGCTCATCAGATCGCAGCTGGGCCAACACCGCGAGTTAACATAAGTCAAATCCTGTCTAACCCCCACACACCAAAAGCCTTGGCGCCTTGGTCCACATGCTTCCGGAATTCACCCGCGTTCGTGCCATCCCCCCCGAAGTTGTGACCGGGGCCCATCCGTGCCAGTCTGCCGCGCTGACGGGTGTTCCACCACGAGATGGTCCCCGACCGAGGAGACGGCTGGCCGCGTTGCCCGTCAGAAGCTCAAGCACCTCAATCACATCCGGACGGGTGTGGAGTCACCCTGACCAAGTGGAGCACGGAACCTGCTGTAGTGGCGCTAGCTTGGTGTGTGCAACCAGGTGCAACCACGAAGATGATAAACCCTCGCCGAGGGGCCTCGGCCTATTTTCGTTTCGGATCACTCCACTCCGCATGTGTTCGGCCTCCCTTGCCCACGTTCAATTCAGAACATCTGGGCCAACTTGATCTGATGCACCGTATGCGAAAGTGTATGGAAATAGGGCGACCCCCAGCCAGACCCCCCAGCGAAAGGAAGACTGGACCGAAACCACTTGGTAAGGGGGCATCTGGTACAAAGGAGAAGCACCGCCGATGCCTAAAGTCACTGAACCCAACTCTCAGATTGAAAAATAAAAAACGACCCGATTGGGCACCGCCTCGGGCTCTGTTGAGGGCCAGAGAGCTGCCTTCCCTGGAGCAATCATGGAAGTGGATGGGCACCACTGTTTGTAGAGGAAGAAAACGGTCACCCAAAGGGGTGAAAGGCCATCCACCTAACCATGATCCTTCCAGGGAGCGTCACTGAATCCGATCGACTTCGTGAAAGCTCCCAGGTCTGTTGATCTCAGATGAACCCCACCAACCCATGCATCCCGGTCCAAGGCACTTGGGGAGCCCCTCCACCAATCCCGGCGCCCGTTGCTGCCGGGCTATCGCCTTCATCGCCGGGTGGGGGTCTTCCTGCGGAGCGCCGTGGGGGAAGACCCTACCGCTCCGACCGAAAAACCAGTTCCAGTGACCGGGGTGCTGAACTTGGAGGGTGCTCGGGTGCTCACCCAGTGCCCATGATCCACTCACCAAAAGGGACCAAAACCACTCCTGCCGGGACCTGCTGGGCGATTGTTTGTCTTTTTCCGCAGTGAATGGCTCTGGAGATCCTTGCAAGTTGTCCGGTGACGACCTCGAAATCGAGGTCGCGTGTTCGTATCGACCCTTCAGTGGGCTCAGACGGATGGGTGTGTCGGTCGGGTCAAGCATCATGCACTCTTGATGCCACCTATGTCAAGCTCAGCAGCTCCATTCAGGGCTCAGCAGCTCCATGAGGATCAAAATCTGCCAGTTGTTCACTGGGCGCGATTCTTTACACCATCTCGGTCTGGGGCCCCAAAAGTTCACAGCACCTCCCCGCCCCCCCCGGCAGCGTCTGAGTTCTGCAGCACGTGTCCGTTCGTCCCCCTGGTTCGCGTGGCTGCTCCTCCTCCTCCGCGGGCGGCACCGAGGCCTTGGGCGAGTGGAGGTCGTCGTCGGACTCGGGCTCGAGCCACGTCACGGACTGCTCCAGCAGGTAGCCCAAGCACACCTGCGTGGTTCGGAGGCCGGGGGCGGCACTGGGCTGTGGGCGGCTTGTGGGGTGGGCGCCTGAAGTAGGATGGAAAAATGCCCTGGGAACTTCAAGACCCACGTGGAACCTGGAAAAACCACTGGGGTTGTAGATGAAAACCGTCTTCCAAAGGTCCATTTTCTGGTTTCATGTTGATCTTTCTGGGTGTAACTTGGTGCCAATTTGGGGGACAATGGAAGAGGGGAGGTGGGGCCGGTTGTTCGACTTCACCGGTGTGGTTCGGGGGGGTTGCTGGCGGTGTGAAAGGCTGGGATTGGGTGGCTCAAACAAACCTGACGTGGGATCCTGATCGGGCCGTTGGTAGCGCATGTGTGAGGAATCAATCAGAATCATATGATGGAAGCAACACCGTGCGGACATCACCTCTGACGGGCCTGCTAGGCCAACAAGGGTGCAAAGAAACACAAGAGCATAAGCTCTGTAAACAGCAAACAGGTTCCAACATCAAGTCAGTTCCTCACACCGTGCCGGGGTCCCAGGCACTGGCCTGCTTTCGGAGAACGGAATTTCGGGGTTCCACACCGTCGTGCGGGGTTCCTTCGACCAGAATTCACGAGAACCTCTTGCACAAGTCCTGCTGCTGCGGCCACCACCCTCACTTCAGCAACCGGATTCTACACATCGATCTCCGCTGGGTGCGTCATCCTACCTATCCCCCACCGATTTGGGCATGGGCCAGGTGTCAATACCAAGGCCGGCCCCCCATGTGTCTTCCGCGATCGCATGTGAGAGCCCGTCCCATACAAGTTTGGTCCTATACTCACTAGAAGCGTCATGTCAGTCAACCAAGCCCCCACAAATTCATCCATTCTTGCCACAGTGGGGGGGCTTGGCCGTGCCACACCCTTGACCAGCGCCCCGGCCGCCTGCGGCGATCGCCAGTCTGCCTCCATGCCCGGACCCGTGTCCGTGTCAGGCGCCGGAGCAGCATCCTTAGTGGTTGAACCAGGCCCAGAGCATTCCAAAGCAAACTGTCCAGAAAGGGACCAAAATGTCCTCATCGTCCTGAACTCTATCTATCTATCTATCTACCTATCTATCTCTAATCTCTATCTCTATCATTGTATCTCTATCTCTATCTATCTATCTATCTATCTATCTATCTATCATCCTGAACTCTATCTATCTATCTATCTATCTCTAATCTCTATCTCTATCTCTATCATTATCTCTATCTATCTATCTATCTATCTATCTACCTACCTATCATCCTGAACTCTATCTATCTATCTACCTATCTATCTCTAATCTCTATCTCTATCTCTATCATTATCTCTATCTATCTATCTACCTGTTTATCTATGTGTCTGTGTGTGTGTCCACCTCTGTAACTAAGAGTTTCGGTTTTCTCAACTTT